CATCAACATAATGTCCTCTGCAAGTTCCTTCCGGCTCTGTACCAGCATCACCTCCAATTTCTTCTCCAGAACCTTGCAACCAGGCAAGAGTAATGATGAAAAAAAAGAACCGAGTTCTTTTGGAATGGCCAAAAAATACGCGGACAAGAGCCCCGAAGGACACTTGATGGCGACATCCTCCGCGATGTGCAATGCAGGGACACCACTATAGCAGGCTCAATGCTTGAGCTGAGTCGCTCCCACAAGGTCTATTGAGAATGTTAGTCATCTATGGCAATGTCATGGTGCACAGGGGCGGGGGACGTACAAGTATGAAGAAGAAAAAGAAAAGAAAGTCAAGTTAGATCGAGCGACGAGAAAATAGAAATAGTCGAACGGCAATGCCAAGCAAAGTGTCCAAAGACGCCAAGACTTCAACCCGTAGTTGCCAAGTCTTTGTCGGTGTCACTGCTGCGACTGGATGCTGTGCCTTGGCGATTAACTTGGGTTCGATAGGTACTTCACTTGTGTCGACAACTTTCTTCTCTTGTGCATCGCGTGGTATCCTCGGTGATATTCTAATAATGTTCTGATATTGTTCTCCCTCAATCTCAGCGCTTTCCGTATTTAGTCCTCAAACCTTTGCACGGCATTCTGTGCGAATCAGTTGATGCGCTATCCTCACGACAGGTGAGATTACATAAATCAGCCTAGGCGTTCCCATCCTGCTCCAACGCGCCTTTGTTCCCGCCTGGAATGAGGACTTTGTGATGGTAACTTCTGCAATGCTTGGGAACAGCCAGCGTAGTCTGGAACCTCAGCAAATATGGTTTCTCAACCAGTGGTTCGAGCGGCTGATCACCCCTCAATACGTCCTCATTTCATTCAACGTACAGAAATCAAAAAGCTCCGCATATCGCTTTATTGTGATTAACCTCCTGCTACTATTGTGAGAATATAAATCCTTCCCTCCAGCGTCTGAAACACCCATGGCTCCTGTCGTGCTCGAGGATATCGAGTTTCCAACTCAGATGGGCCTCAAAGGAAGTGCCATTGAGGCCATCGTTGGCATCGCATTCATGATAGGCATGGTTGTGTTTTTCGTCGGTCTAGGTTTTCTACGCCACAATGTGGTCAGGGTTCACAATAGTCGCGGACGACGCTCTCGACGACGCGCCATATTTGATGCTGCGGAGTGGACGGCGACGAACAGTCTGCCACCTCCACCAACTTATGACTCCCTCTTCCCTGACCATGGATACTCCCAGCCCCAGCTTCGATCAAGCTCGAACAGATGGAGCGCGACGAACTCACAACTACAAAACGATAGCGATACTCACAACCCTCCCAACGCCGCTGTTGATGATAGCAGGGAAATCTCCGATGAGAGAAGCAGCCATCCAAACATTTCAACATTGAGTCCGTCCGTTTTACCCCCTTACTACGGACGAGATCCTCATGGACTGCCTTCCTACGAGACCTTCGCTTTTGCCGACGAAGAAGACCGGCTAAGGAATACTTGGTCTGCTGTGGCAACTCAAGTACCCCAAGGGCCTCGTGAGGATGCCTCGTTGCGTGTGCCCGCAAGGATTTTGCGGACAGAAATCATGGTTACTCAGAGAGAGATATCCCCCAACGAAGTATGAAGAGGGAGAGCCACCACCACAGTCAAGGTTTACGGATTGGTAAAATTACCCAGCTGATATGCACTTTTCTCTGCGTTTGTAGCTAATCCACTTCCTCTGCTCCAGGTAATGATGCCGCTCTCGAACAGGCCAGAGCCGAGGACGTTCACTCAACCCTGCCATGAGTACTGGTGTGAGTTTGAGGGGTGGCAGAAACAAAATTGCAGCCCGATGAATCGGAACATATTGGGCCCTCTTCCGAGACAAAATTTTGCTGTAACCGCGCATCCTACAGAATGGGATCGAGAAACCTTCAACTTCCTTCAGCCTCCTTTAGCCTTCTTCAGCGAAAACGGCTGTTGCTCTTTGCATCTCCAGCAATCCTTTTGAAGTTCCTGCGTATACTAGACACTGCAACCGTCCGGTCGCTTTCGCCTGCCACGTCTCCAGAGTCGTCACCTTGAAACTGTGAACAGAGTTCCAAAGGCCTGGGTGGATGGCTTGAGTTGCTATTGAGCCTAAAGCCAAAGCCAAATCCACGACCGAGACAGGTAGTCGGGAAACAAGAAACAATCGAACAATATTAGATTTATATTCGACACCCTCCTGCCCAGTTCAGTGACAAAGGGTTGCAACGACACGACGGGACCATAAGGGCCATGACCGGGCCAGACCAGATGCCTTGCAATTCTTCTACCCACTTGTTCATGCTCACTTACGCACTCACCACTTCCATTCGGTCAAACCGAGACAGCGTCTTAGCGGGCGTCAAAGGACGTATGTCTTTCGATATGGATCAGGGGGCCACGGATATTGGTTGAGGTATTGACACAGGAGAAAATCGACAACAACTTGCACTTGTGCAATCTCGCGGCAGCGCGTCGCTGGTATCTATTTAAACCACATATCTATCGACCTCGTCAGTTCAGGGTCGTCCATGAAGACCATTTACACAACAACGACTTGACTTCTTCTCATTTCTGTTTATCAACCCGGAAACATTCCCTCTACTCTTTCGTCCCCTGCAGTGAGCGACACAGTGTGGCACTCGCCCCTTTTCCTACGGTTATCAATCCATTTTCACCCATTTTGTCCTCATCTACTTTACATATAATCCCGCCCCGTTCCAAGAACGCGACCCAAATCCAGCCCAGTCTCCATCGGAGCATCTCCACCCATACCTACAGCACATCCAAGTCACTAGCAGTAACAAAATAGCAGATATGAATGAACCAGCCATGATATCCTTCTTCAGCGTCACAGGGGTGATCCTGCTCGTTGCTGCAATAGCAATCTGGAGGACTCATCACAAGAGCCACATGCGCGGCCAAGTTGATGACACAGCGATCCACAACGACGACGGCGGCAACTCGAGGAACGGCCATCAAGATGCGGACAGCATCCGTGCAGGCAACGCTCCAGTCATTGATGGGCAAGCAGACAATCGAGGCGGAAATTGGAGGTGGAGAAAGATCATTGACGGTGTCGGTTGGGCCCAGGTACCAAACGGGCCTGAAGATCGAGAAGAGACGCGAGTGATGGCAAGACGACGAGGTATCATGGAGAAGCCTGAGCAAGCGCTCGTTTCTGTGTCTATTGGCAGTGCTGAGACCCAGGCAGGGACGAGCTACGCGAATGATGTTGAGAAAGGAGGATCACGGCCTACAGATGTCATGTCATTCGAGAACCTTGGTGGGTATCGATACGGCGATTTTGCATACGGCCACGACAACATGGCGCCGCTTCCGGTTCCTGCTTCGGGCCCAGATCAAAACTCATTGTACCGACATTCACCTGGCATTGCGGAAGTCGAAGCTGTGCCGGCAGGTTCTTATCTCTCCCGGATCCCCAGCACAGACTCGAGGGAATCAGGGCACGGGTGTCGATTGACCTCGTACAATGGGCTGCCGCCAGTACACCAGCAACAACATGACGATATGATGGCGGCACTCCCGATCTCGAAAGACCACCCTCTCTACCAACACCATCCGGTTTCCCAAAGCCCAGCGCCGTCTCAAACCTCAGATCAAAGCTCAGACCACAAGCCTCCTGCATTCCACTACGAGCGCGGCAGCCTTGTTCCTGCACCCCTGAATCCCCGTCGTGGAAAGCGCTGCCTCGATGTCGATCAGAACCACGAACCAACTCCAACTGCCGAACCAGTGCGTGCGGCGTCCGGCCTCACGCTGGAACGCCCTTCGAGTGCTCGATCTCAGCCAGCTTCAGCCTCCGGATCGGGGTTACGGGAATGGCCAGAGCCTCGATACAGCATGTTTGAAAGCCCCCTGAGGCAGCATCCACCAGAGTTGTTCCTGGACCTACCAGGCCCAAGGGACGTGTCGGCGCAAACTTCATCCCAGGAGCCACAGGAAATGCTCGCTGCTGAGACTGGGACGAAAGATGGTGATGATCTCCGAACCGACTGCTCTTTGACGACAGAAACGAAGTCTTCATCTCCAAAACTACACCAGCCCGTGAACGGATCCGATCAGCAGCGTCACCATCACCATCCTCGTCAAGGTCAAGGTCAACGCCACCGTCATCGCCATTTCAGCTCGTGCGACGCCGGCTGGACGACCGTCCGTCTCACCCCATCATCACATTCAACCGCCGCCAGCAGACCATCGAGATGGAGTTGGACGGCAGAGGATTTCAGGGTGGTGGGAACGGATGGGGACAATGTCGTGTGAAAAGGTCACCGAAAAAAAAAGCTGAAAGCTATTCATACAAGGCAAGGTGCTCGTGGGGTCAAAGTATGGGTGTATGGTGTTGGGGAGTGGTTTTGGAGTTTGAGGTTGGCGTATGTATGTATGTAGGTAGGCACGTAGCTAGTCTGGGAGAAACATATAAATGGTATTTCTAGCAAAAACCAGCGATGCAAGATATCCTCTTTACATGTTGATTCCTCTGCACGAGGGAGGGAGTGGCCTGCAAAAACCGCTTTGCAAACACTTATTGAAGTCCAGAGGTTTCCCATGTTTTCTGCTTGCATGTCTTGGTCTTGCCGTGACTTTTGTCGATGCAAGATCCTCAATTCAGTGTGATGCAAGGGACATAGGTATGCCAGTGCTTCTCCGCGAACGGGCTCTTTCTCGGACAGGTGTCGAGGCGCGGTGCCTGTACCTGTCTGCATGCTGAACTGCTTGAGAGCTCTCAACGCTTTTGACTAGAGAGTGAGAACACTCAATATCCCATAGGATCCAGTCAGAGGGACGTGCTAAATGGACTATGTGTAGAGCGTGGAACGTGTCCAGTTTGCTCGGTCCTCCGCCAGCATGTGTAGTCTTCGGCGGCATCTCCATCGGTGGATTGGTACGCCACTTGACGAGAAATCAGAAGCGGACTTTGAATGGGGATGGCCATTCATCCGTCATCTCCTGTCTCGTGTCCAGATTATCACCTCTTGTTCCCAACAGCGGCCCATCTCTCTCTACTCTTGACCCCGACCCCTTCATCCACGGAGGAGCCACTACTGCCACCAGCAGCCCAGCCCTCACCAATCTCTCCCACAACTCGTCCTGGACGGCCCGCGATGACAGTGCCTCCAGCCCAGATGGTATTCGGGGGCAGAACTGTGCCGTCAAGGATTCTGACGTTGTCCTTGATCATGACCATGTTCCCGATCGTGCAGTTCGCGCCGATCCACACGTTGCTCCTGATCTCGGCAGCGCGGATGTGGGTGTTGGGCCCGATGTAGACATAGTCTGAGATTCGGAGCATGAAGTAGGTCATAATCTGCTGCGGTTCACTGCCGTTCGGGTTCGGGACCGTCGTCAGACGCGAAGGAGGGTGAAGCGTGCAGCCAGGGCTGATGAAGACATATCGACCGAGGTGGATCGACGTTTGATCTTGCGCAGCGGATTTCTGATCGCCGCCTGCTTGTTGTGGGTGTTGTTGGTGAGAGGAGGGAGGCTTAGGCTGCGGAGGCCGAACCAGGTCTCCGTGGATCACCACGTCTTGCTGAATGACACATTTCCCAGCAAGGATAATATGGCGCGGCCCCAGGACACTGGCTCGGCGACTGATCTTGTTGCCAGTTTCCTAAGGTCTGGTCGTCAGCGACACTGCGTAGCGTGAATATTTGCTTTTCTGGGGAGGGTAAATCCGACTGACGGTTTCGATATATTCGCCCCGGACCGAAGGTTTAGGTGGCATGACTCTGTGAAACGTGCCAGACTCCAGCAGGTTTCGTATGCAAGGCTGCAAAAGAGCCCCAACACAGTATCGTGTCTTGAGACGAACGGTTGTCAAAAGTGTTGTTGATCAACCCATACTTGGTATGCTGTAGCGAGCACGATAATAATTCGTGACACACTCAACGCGTGGCCTTGGGGGGTTGAGCGCAGTCGCGAATGCGGAGAAAAACTATCTACTTCTTCATAACGAGCAAACAGTCAACCTTCTTCTCGCCAACTACTACTCGGTTGCAATTGACGGGCTGAATACTTTGTACAACATTATTGCACAATTCTCGCAAACTTTGCTCGAATCCCCCCCTTATTCTCAGGTCTCAATGCGGACTCTCGGCTGTCTCTGGCCGCATGCCCACAATTGCCGTGTCTCTTTGCCTGCTTTTCTTTCCGACGTACCCACTTGAATGCCTCGACGATGACAACAGATATGGACCCAACTCGCTAGGCATCACAGGGGATCCTCGATACTTGAATCTCGTACGGTCAGGCCACAAGGCACGCAAGACTTCGCTCTCTCGCCTAATCGTGCAGCCTCGCAGCCGAAAAGACGTTGACTAGCGCCGCAAAGAGGAGCCTAAGATGGAGACTGGCTTTCGCCCAACACATGGTTCGCTGATTCTTCAACGGCTTCGTCCGACGGTCACGCCCTTTATTGCTCAATGATCATGGTCTGGGGGTTCAAAAGGCTTGCTTCCATCGGTGATTCTGGAACCCAGAATTTGTGGACCCAGGCTCCCGCTGTGGGTAGAACACAGGGGAATCTCGCAAGGAATACTTCGAGAAGTGGTCAGACCGCAAGTGATGCACTGCCTAGTGTACATTGTACAAATACCGAGTATATCCGAGTGCAAAATACCGGTACATTACCGCCTGGAGTAGCTGGACAACGGCCTCTGCTTCCATTCTGTACCCACAGAGTCGGGTTTGGCCCCAACTGTGCCGTCCTTCTGTATGATTGCCGCTCTTGCATTTGTGCGGTTCCCGATGGTATCAGGTAGCGAGTCCCTGGCAATCAATCTCCGTGCCCAGAGCTTGACGAGACCTCGGGCTCCAACATGGATGAACAAGGTGACAAGTCATCTCAATCCATCGTCAATGATCGACGTAACCCCTGACCACATGGCTGCGCCCCAATGGTTTCTAGAAATGTCAGCTTCGGATAGACATTGCCGGCAAGAAAGATGGCCCATGGATCCGTGGTTCTGGACATCCCCACAAGACGCAACAAAGTCGACAGGTTCACTACTACTTGTGCTTGTAGATTTCTACAACTAGAGAACATGGCCATGGCACCAGGAGGTTGGAACATGCCTTGGGGTGTGTCAAACAATTGCTCTCGTGGCTTGTCTTCCCGACTTGGCCCTCGGTTGCGGCGAGAATCAACGTCCAAATCGCCTTCTAGTTCTTCGGTTATTCCCACCGCTTGGTCTATCAAATTCACTAACGGGAAAATTCTCGACAAGTCCATTTCCTATTATTGATCAGCGAGTGGCGTTATCTTTGTTTCAGAAGCCAGCGAGCATGAGGTTCTGTGCCCTGGGCTGGCCCCCATGTGGATGATGGTCACGCCACTCCACGTGGAAACTAGGAACGTGGGTTGCTCCCTAGCGGAACGGATCGAAAAATTTATCTTCAACTCGTCCCGATCGGGCGTCAAGTATGGAGATGTGTCGTAGCAGACAGTTCTCGGTGTGAAGGATAGTCGGAAAGCTCCTCCTGGGTCTGACAAAGCGCACAGAAATCAATCCGATCGGCTTTAAATCATGGGTCCGCCGTTGCGAAGCGCAGCTGGAGCCGTGCTTGATCAGGCTCTCTATTTTGTATCTCTCGGTCGACGAAAGCTTCTCGTTCAATAGATCAATCGCGTGCGGCCAAGCTCCTTTGTTGACATATTTCACGAACGTCTACTCTTTTGGCACTAGTTGACGGCACGATGGACCATATTCCAAAGGACATGGAACATGTGGACCGGCGCGAGCTGTATACATCGCTTCCAGTTCGAGTCCAGTATCTCCAGCAATTCCTCGAATTCGGAGCAGGTGAGCGCTCCTTTTCCCTCATCGAGACCTCGAGATTGAAGGGACAGGAAATTGTGAAGAACGCCGCTGCTGACCACTGTGCTAACTTAGATGATGTTGTTGCTCTGATCGAGGGTCAGAAATATATCAAGGCCATCATTCCCGCCATTGTCAATATGGTGTACAAGAAGCTGCTGAAGCACGATATCACGGCCCGAGTCTTCAGCACGCGAGATAGCCGGGTTGAAGAAAACCCCACCAAATGGATCAAAGAAGACGACGCTCAGATTCGGCACCGAAAGATGTTCTTGAGATGGTATCTCACGAAGCTCAACTCCGATCCCAGCAAAATGGAGTATTGGCAATATCTAGACAAAGTCGGGTAAGTGTATATGTACCTGCCTGCGAGTCCTTGGAACCACCGATGCCCGTACGAGCCAACTTGGGCCGTCCACCTCCAGCACCACCAGTGAGAAGAAACCATCTGACCGCGACGCTCGTAGGTTGATGCATGTGGGCAAAGGACGCCGCAATCCCCTCCACGTGGACTACATCTTTCTCGGCGCGTGTCTGGGCTACATCCAGGACTCGATGACAGAAGCCATCCTCTCGCACCCGCGGGTGGAACTCACGCAGAAGATTGCCATCGTCAAGGCCATCGGTAAAGTGATCTGGATTCAGAACGACCTCATGGCGAAATGGCACATCGAGGACGGGCGAGAATTCCTGGACGAGGAGATTGAGGAGGACATGGAAGCCGAGGCGCGCGAGCCTGAGGGCTACCTCAACGGGAAACGGATCTTGGGCGGTAACGGTGGGGCCGCCGGAAACGATGACGACAGCTCAATCGCCGGCACCGTGTCGTCGACGTCGTCGGAAAAGAGCACGACCAGCCTCGGCCGCACCATGGAGCAGGTCCGCCTGTCCAACGAACAGCAACAGAAGTTCACCTGCCCATTTAGTGGTATGACGACCTCAGCCGGTCCAGAGGACATGGAGAAGCAGCGAGCAACCACATGGCGACCGAGCCGGCGGGAGCTGGTACAGGGCGAGCCGACGTCGCCTCCTCGTGTGCCAACCGGCATCCCGCGACTCCGCGTGATTGATGGCAAGACCAGCTGTAAAGAGAATCTGGAGCCGAATCCGTTTATATAGGCTGGCACCACACCGGGACACTGGCATGGCAAACATTCTCCGCATGGTGCGAGAGAGTCTAGTCAGCCTTTTCGATTTCGACCCCAAAGTGACGATACATCGACCAAAATAATCGAAACAAAGTTCCGAGATGTGATGGCGATGTCGACACGAGGTCCCTCGAAGTGAACGAACGAAGGAATGAACGAAACTCCCATCGTCGTCATTCGCTAGAACATCCCTTGCCGGGCACGTGGTGGTGTTGTGGTTTCTCTGTACTTAGTATCTACCTATATACAGTACGAGGAACGAGGACGAGGTGCTGTACAGTAGACATTGAACGGAGTTTACCCGTTGAATTTTTCATTGAATCTCAGACTTTTTTTTTTCAACTCCGCTTCCATTCTCTATTCCCATTCCATTCTGTTACTGGTATAGCAGTAGGTGCGTAAGTTTGAAATCTCTCTCTCTCTCTCCTCTCTCATTCTCACAGAGAGTATAAGAGATGGACTTGTCCATGATATGCTGCAGATCTCTGTTTAGAAAATGCGTATAGCCAGACTCGCGCCAATATCTAACAAACCCGCGCGACCGTGGTCACCCTTGCTCTCACTGTCCAGAGTTTCGACAGCGCGATTCTCGCATGCCTCGGCGAACTCAATCATGGCTTCGTAACCCTCGCTGGACGAACCGACGAACGTCCCCCAGTGGACTCCGACGGTGTTGCGGGATTGGACGTCGAGATGTATCGCAATAGCGTCTGCCGGAGAGGCGTGGAGTGCCGCGGGGATGTCGTTGTGGGATAGTCGAAGCCCCATGTACGAAAAGAATCCAAGAGTCCCTCCGCGCCATATAGGAATGAATGAAAGATCGATAGGGCCGAATTTGTCCCCAATCTCCTTGAAGACCGGGCAGACGACCTCTGATCTCGACGTCCTCCGATAGCCTGTGTCACCGGCGTGGTAGATGACCCCTTGCCTGGTCGCCTTCGATCCGCTAGATTCATCCTGTGAGCGGAGAAAGCGCTCGACAACCCAACCACACCACAGCGTCCGCCCCTGGTCTACAGGACTCCGTGCAGAGTTGTGCTGGGCGGGGACACACGAGAACCTGAAAATGATCTGATTCGTCGATGCTGGTGTGGGTTGGACTCCAAAGTCCTCTAGACTGTATTCACGATTCTGCCACCAGTCCATTTCGCAGGTTTGTGCATCCGGGACCCCCATAGACAACATCCACTGCTTGATGCCCAGCCCGACAAAGAACTTGGCCCGGGGAAATTTCTTGAGGACTCCCTTGATCGAGGCAGCATCTAGATGGTCGTAGTGGTTGTGGGAAATGAAGACTGCGTCGCAACCTGGCAGGTCCTCGGGTTGACAGGGGGCTTGCTTGAAACGAGCGACACCACTGTTTTGAGTCGGCCCTGCTCGCATGGAGAAGATCGGGTCAAAAAGAAGCCATATGCTCTTGTGCTCGGGGTTCTCGAGCGGTGGCAACTCCACCAGGGCACTCGCATGACCCAGCCATGTGCCGATGACACAGTTGGTCTTGTCGAGCTTCTTCTTCTCCAACTCCGCCGTTCCCCAGTCTGGAATGACCACATTGAGTTGTCGGGATTTTGGGTGGCTGCTCAGGTCATCCGTGTACCATCCAAGTGGAAAAGATGATTGAACGAGTTCCGCCCACGTCGGGGTTCCTGCGGAGGGCCATGGATTGACGAATGCGGTGGCCGAATTGTTTGAGTGGTGAGCGGGACGTGATGATTTCCACTTCGGACCAGACGTCGTTGTATTCATCATAGAACGATTACCGCGTTGCCATGATAATAAGGTTGCCTTTCACGAGAACGGCTGGAAGATAGAGGGAGCGGTGAAGTTGGATGGGAAGAAGCAGTAGGATGAAGGATCGGGGGTGTGGTGGCTGCATGGCTGCATGGGTGTGTGACGCTGATGAATCTGATAGGGACCAACAGTACGAAAGGACAAAGTACGATGTACGAGGAGCAGACAATCCAATGACGACATGGACACAAGAATTGCTGGAGTCTCTATTGAGACCAACTTCAGACTACTCGGTACATATTTACAGACCTTTCCTGCATTTATCTGCTATGGCCTTGTGTCCAACTGTGTCTGCGTCTACTATTATACGATGGCACTGCTCCAAGCACTGAAGCTTGACAGCAATAGTTTCAACCCTCCAACCTGGGACACGCGCTACAATGAGATGTGACTACTACGCACAACCACCTGGCGTAAAATGGACAATACTTCACTTGTGCTGTAGTCCTCAATTGTCCCTTGAACATTCATTCACTTTAACGATTCATTTCACTTCACTTCACTTCACTCACCCATGTTTTGTCAACGCCCCGACTTATGACCTCTTGCTTGACACAAGACCTTGCTTAGATCCTCTATCCCGCAAATGTTTCCCCGGGTAACGACAGATTCACAACATAGACGAGCCATGTCTTCTCTACCAGGAAAGCATATGATGAAGGTCACAGTGACGGCGACTCAAGAGCTGGAAATTCAGGTCGACGAACCGACGAACCTTGCGTATTTCCCAGAAAGTATTCCACATATCGTCCTGGAACAACTTGCTCATCGAGGCCTCAACCTGACCAGCATGCAAGTTGCTTCGAACCCCGGCAACATATGTGATCTCCAGGACGGCCAAGAACTGGCTTCTGCGGCGATGAAGGGTACACAGCCTCCTCGTCAAACATGGTGGAGGAATTTTCCGTCATTTTCCCCGATGCTGACACGATAGAATTAGATAGCGCTGTCTTCCACATGTTCAATCACGACCATTCGCTTCCAGCCTGGAACAGATTGCCGAACAACGTGCCCAATAAGATACCATTATGGGACAAACAGGAGGCACCCGAGGCTCGGCAACTGGCTCTGTCCATACAAAAGCCCATCACTTGGTTCTATGATCCAGTTCCGCGACCTGATACAAAGCCCACACTGTCCAGGATCGCACACTGTCCTGCTCTGTCATCTGCTCCTCCCAACACACCCATTGCTCCCAACCTCGTCTCTGCTAGTCCGGCTGAAGACAACCACGCTACGACAGAGGCTACGCGTCTAGATGCGCAGGAAGCTATGGAGGAAGTAACGCCCGCTGCACCACGCGCCAAAGGCAAAGTAAAGAAGAGAGGAAAGAAAAAGCCCAAGACGACTCGCGTCCAGAAGCAAGCCGACAAAGTGCCACACCGACCAGTCACGCGCTCCCAGACGGGAAAGGAAGCTGCCGGAGTCATCGACAAGCTAAACCGATCGGGGAAAGGCACGCTGGCGACCGAGAAGCGCATGGGGGGCGGCATCCACGACAGACCAAACTTTGCAAAGCAGGTCGAGCGTGTCGGCATGACACAGACGGTGCATACATTCGGGCACAAGCACCAGCGCCGATTGAAGCAGAGACTGGCAAAGGCCACGGAGAAGCGGTGGCAAGGCCAGCCCAGTGGTCTGACCGAGGACGACAAGATCGACGTGATTACCCAGCGTGAGTTGATTGACATCTACCTCCCCCTCCTCCCGCCACATCCTTCCTCATCACCTTTTCTTTCATCTGTCTCCATTCCATTTCATCTGTCTTCTTCACCAGTGGACATATCCTAACGACATACAGAGCTTCAGAAAGCGTTTTGAGACGATGCGGGATCCGACGGACGCGATGCCATTCTTTGCGAAACACATCGGTGCTGAAAGACCATGGAAGCTTAGGATAGGGCCTAGGGGCTTTTTTTTTTTTTTAAACCCAGACTTGATACTGCGTAACGTTTTGGACTTGGGGGGTGTAGTCCCGCTTCAGGTTCAAGTTCTTGGGGTGATTGATGATGAATGAGCATTGGCTATTACAAAACGATCCAAGAAGGAGCTGAGATGTCCAATGATATGATAAATCAAATTGCCAATCCACTCAGATTCGCCGCGTCTGCCCTGTCTTTGTCTAATTCCTTCTTCTTAGCACCTTGTACACCCGTAGTTCCGTTTTCCTCCGTCGCTGCCGCCGCGTCTCCAGGCACCTTTATACCCCATTTCGCACAGATCCGCCTCGCTATCCCTTCACCACTCCACCACGCGCCCGTCGTCGTTCCCAGCGCAATGAATGGCGCCGTGTGTTCGCCCGCCAACCACAGGCCTCTTTTCCACAGACCCCCCGCGTCGCGCATGACCTCGATGTCCTCGTCACCTCGCTCGAGGCCGACCTGGAAGTTGCAGTAGGAGCCGTTGCCGGCGAACGGGTCGGCCTGCCACCTCGTCATCAGGAAGGACTTGGGCTGGCAAGCCGGGCTGCTGGGGTCGTAGTTGGGGAGACGGGAGTAGAAGGCGGATGCGAAGCTGTTGAGGACTGTGTCGTACTCTGTCGAGTGTGTGGTGAGGTCCTTGATGGAGTCTACGACGTGCGTGCCGCACGGCCCGTAGATGTAGAACAGCAGCGTCGGCTGTGTGCAGGGTGGCGGCAGGTGAGCGAGCGACACTACGGACTGGTTCCACGCTTCGCCGCACGCATGAGGCACGTAGGCCGGATCGTGGAAGTGGGTATGAACGGGATAGCTTGACAGGTCGGGTTTCCCTTCCGCATCGGAAGAGAGCCAGAACGCAGAGGGAAAAGTCACGTAGAGCTTCTCCAGGCGACCGTAATTGATGTGAGAGATGGCCGAGGCCAGTCTCGAGGGCAGTGTCGGTGTGAATGCTCGAGCGTGATGTCGTTTAAGCCAACCCAGAGGACATGTGATTACCACATCGTCAAAGGTAGACTGGTCGCCACACGAGGCTGTGACGATGACTTTGCCATAATCGTCTTTGTCACTGTCGGATCTCGTCTCGAAATGAACGACTTCGGTCCCCAGTCTGAGGTCGACTTTGCCCTCGTCTGTGGCAACGCGGCCGATTTCCTTCAAGATGTCCTTGTACGTTCCGGCCACAAAGACATTTTCCCCTTCGATGCATTCTTCCAGGAAGAAGAATTTGAGGCTCTGTTTCTCAACCGAGTCGCCCACAAAG